CGATATCATTATGATCACATCAAAAATGTTGATATGTGTTTAAATATTATTTACTATGATCAAATTAAAACCAAAATTTAGGACTTACAGTGTTATTGTAACGGGCAACATAAGCGTGAAAGTTACGAGTAGTAAAAACTGGAATCTACTATATAGGATGACGTTTTGTTAAGGCATGTTTTGGGGTTGTATACCGCTATAATATATTGAAAATTTAAAATACATTAGTGCCAATATGTACATGAATATACACTAGACAACTTTGTCGGAAAATATCGTCCCTAGAGGTACGAAAAGGGACTTATGATCCAGATAATTAAATTAGAAACTGAAAAACGATACCAAAAATACATCTTGGAACTTTTAAGTACAGATCCTTATAACAAAAAATATTTTTAGATACCCTATGGGTTCTATTAAATTCCAATATTGAATTTTGGTTTTATCTCTGGAAAAAGGGTGAAAACATTACAAATATAGCCAAAAATCGCCATTTTAATGATATTACATGAAAAGGGGGTACAAATCCCCCAAAATTGTGGACCAAATGGGTCAAAAATATATCCATGCGGTTGATAGAACCCCTTAAAACAATATTAAGCATAAAACCGTGCGATTCTAAAATTTGTGTATCGTATAATATGATCAAATATGAAATACAGGAAAAATTCGCATACTTTTGTGAAGTAGTTTCATGGACTTTTTTTTTTAAAAAACACAACTAATTTAAGTAAATGTAAAGTTTTCAAGTTTTAAGGGGCGTGATATTAAAACTAAGGACTATCTAGACAATATAACAAATTAATTTATTTATTTTCCACACAAAATATATTATTAAATTTGGTTTCTTTTCATAGTTTACCTAAATTCGAATACTTATGAGAGACACTGTAAATATTCCATTCCGACGTGATACACAGATTTTAACTTGATTTTGTCGACCAATATTATTAAATTAACATCAGAAAATGAGTAAATAGTCAAAACCATGCAGTAAAATTCACAGTACTTTCGCAAAGAGTTCAAGTCATATATTATGCGGATAACGCATTCCCCAACAATATCGAAGAAGTTCAACTTTCTTATATTATTTTCCCGAAAAATTAGCTAACATACTCAGTTCACCCGTCTGCAATCGCAAAAAATTTTTGCAACATGACTTTTTAAGCACATGTCGACGATATTTGATGAAGAAACCTTTTCGTTACCTTAAAGAAAAATGAACGTGAAAGATCTCACGATCATAAAATTAAACATCATGTTAACATTTCAACAATGAAGTCATTCTATCTTCAAAAACAGGCAATTGAAACTTCTCTGAAATATTAATTATTCTCAATGTACGGGAATATTTTATAGAAATGACATATCTACATCTGTTTGACCTTGGGATTTATGGACTATGACAATTTTCGGATGAACAATTACATATTTAGAACAATAAGATATCAAAATATGTATGGGGGTCCGCGAATTTAAATAAATTCCCGGGGGAACCGCTGGTCTAGTCTATAGTCAAGCTATAGTTTAGTCTATAGTCTTGTCTATACTCTAGTTTATAGTATTGTTTATAGTCTAGTCTATAGGTTATTATCTAGTCTATAGTTTAGTAATTAATTGAGAAATTATTTAATTAATTTATTACTCAATTTATTTAAACAATTATTTATTATATTAATGGATATAAAAATATATTAATAATAAACAATTCTCTATAATTTTCAATTTTATAGATATGTAATTTAATGAAAATTATTTATAATTTGGTTATTTCCGGGCTTATAGCGATTTTTTTGAAATCGCTATGAACCGTTCCAAACAACCAAGGTTTTTCGCTACATTGACTATACTAAATAGCAACAACATGACAGTAAAGATCCACCATCTATCTCTTTTCCACTTGCACAAGGTATTGAAATGTAATTTCAATACCTTGTGCTATCTATCTCTTTTTGTGTCTATCTATCTCTTTTCCACCTTGTGTCTATCTATCTCTTTTCCACTTGCACAAGGTATTGAATTTCAATAATTGAATTCAATAATTGAAATGTAATTTGTATTTTTTTGTTGTAAAATTTTGATGAAAAACAATCAATGATATAGCTTTTTAGTAAATATAAACACATATATTTTTGGCTTTTGGTTTGGTTGCGCATTAGCTGTTCTTGTTGTTATGTTCCTCTTTGACTGCAAACAAAATCTTGTTTTTTTACTGTTTTATCCGTCAATTGTTTTACGAAATTATTTGTTGTAATGTGAACACCGGGCAAACAAACTTTTACTATTTGTATTGAATTGTGTTTGGCTTTGTTTCTTCAAACAAAACGCCAAAATAGAAATACTCATTTTAAGCACATTATGAAATAAAAAGGTATTTAATTTTTTGTTTTTAGGCAGAAATTTCTATGAAATCGTAAAAAATATTATTAAATAGTTTTTTTAACGTTTAACAAAAATGTTCCATGTTTGGTGTTCACATTGTGTTCACATTAAGAAAATATTTGTAGGTTGACAAATAAAATGTTTCACGAAAAACAGCTGATATTTTGTTTGCTCTTCAAAAATATTTTGTGTTCACATTACAGCTAACAAATATTTGATAAAAAACGTCAAATATTTGATAGGTGTGAACGTACCTTAAGTATAAAATTTCTGTAAACTAAATTAATATTTGTGCCATATTTGGTAAGGATATCATTATTTGGTAATATTTATGTGCGTTTAAGTGATTTTCTGAAGGAGATCTTCTACGGGAGCTATGACCAAATATGGACCGATCGTGAAACAATATTAAAATTACACTTTTGTTTTCAAAAGCAATATTTGTGCCTAAATTTGTAAGGATTCCATTATTTGGTAATGAGTTATGTGCGTTTTAGTAATTTTCGGGAGGGGACCTTGTTTGGGAGCTATGACCAAATATGGACCGATCATAAAAAAATTTTAATGTATCATTTCTGTATATAAAGGCAATATTTATGCAAAATTTTTTATGGATATCATTATTTGGTTATGCGTAATGTGCACTTAACCGACGGACCTTGTATGGGAGCTACGGCCAATTATGGACCGATTCAGAAAAATTGTTCTCTATATGAATTCAATTCACATAAAAATTTTACTTGTAAAAGTTTTTAAAGATATTGTCATTCTACCTGAAGTTATTAACAATTAATACATTTTCCGGGAATATATACATTTGTATGGGAGGTATATGAAACGTGGACCATTTTTAACAGAGATAAAGCTTTCATATGGAAACAATTGTGTGCTGATTTTTATGAAATTATACCGCATAGTTTTTGGGAAAATTGTGTTAGAATATGTTAAAAAAGCTTAATTTTTTCGGAGTTTTTTAAATTTTGATCCATAATCCTTTCCGATGTAAACCGATTTTGTTCATTTTCAACACCAAACTGCCAAGCATAATAGTGAATCTTTTGGCAGAATTTCATTAATTTAATAAGCATTGTTTTTACGTGAGCGTGTTTTACACAGACAGGCGGACAAACGGACAGACGGACATAGCTAAATCGAATCAGAATTTGATAAGGACCCGGAATATATATACTTTGTTGGGTCTCAGATGAATATTTCTTGGTGTTATAAACGGAATGACAAACATATATGTATATACTCTCTATCACCACTAATGGTGGAGGGTATAATAAAAAAATAATTATTTAAACAAAAAATTATAAAAAATGCATTTAAAATGTGAATATTCAAGTGCTTAAGTTAAAAAGTTGTCAATGCAGAGCGGTTCTATTGAAGCACAATGAGACTGTTAAAGTTAGTCGCTCAAATTTATAAGTATTTTGCGAATCTATTTCCCTACAATTCAATTGCGAGGGTTACACAGTTTACGAGGGTTTTGAACATTTAAATGAGAACCCTTATCAATAATAAACAAATCTCTATAATTTTCAATTTTATCGATAATTTAATGAAAATTATTTATAATTTGGTTATTTCCCGATTTTTTAATCGCTATAAACCGTTCCAAAAAATCAAGATTTTACGTTACATTGACTATACTGAATAGTTACAACAGGACCAAGGCGAATTCATATAAGGTGGTGTTATTCAATCAGCTAATATTTTTTTTCTTAATTCGCCTGGTTTACGTAGCTGTCGAAGTTTGTTATTGTTTACATTTTTATACCCTCCACCACCATCAGTGTTGATAGAGGGTATATATAAGTTTGTCATTCTGTGTGTAACACCAAGAAATATTCATCTGAGACCCAACAAAGAATATATATTCTGGGTCCTTATGAAATTCTGAGTCGATTTAGCTATGTCCGTCCGACTGTCTGTGTAAAACACGCTCACGTTAAAACAAAGCAATGGAAAATAACAAAATTCTGCAAAAATATTCATTATTATCCGGTACAGTTTGGTATTGAAAATGAGCAAAACCGGTTCACATCGGGAAAAGTTATGAAAAATAAGCATTTTTTATATATTCTGATGTAATTTTCTCGAAAACTATGCAAGATAATTTCATGAAAGTCATCACACATTCGTTTCTATACAAGATCTTGATTCCTGATGAGAACTGCCAGAATCGGTCCATAATTTCATATACCTCCCATACAATAGTACATATTCCCGGAAAATGAGTTTTTTGATAATAACTTGCGTCAGAATGCTGATATCTTCACAAAATTTTACAACTTAAAATCTTATGTCAATAAAATTCATTGAGAGAAAAAATTTTCTGGATAGGTCTATAATTGGACATAGCTCCCATACAAGGTCCCCTCCCGAAAATAACTTAAACGCACATATCTCATTACTAAATTGAAATATCCATATAAAATTTGGAATAAGTATTGCTCATATGCACAGAAATATAACTATGAAATTTTTTTCCGATCGGTCCATAATTGGTCATAGCTCCCATACAAGGACCCTTCCCGAAAATCACTTAAACGCGCATAACTCATTACTTAATTAAGATAGAGAGTTAGAGAGCTATATTCGGCTGTCGCTGGCTGCGACCTGAGCCTTTATGTTGAGGACAGCGAATTTAACAAGTCCCAAATAAATGAACCACAAATGTGAAATTAATGATGCATATATTTGAGCAACCGTTTATTTCTATTAAAAAATACAATTATTACAAAAGAAACTTATAAATAATTTAAGCGACTTACCGCAGTCTTTATCCCCAACAAACTAAACTTTAATATTAATGTCAGTTAATACTGAGCCTACAAATTCTTTTGTCTATGTATTTTTACAACAGTTTATTTCCAAATAAATAAACTGAACGAAACTACTGCAGTAGAATATAGGGACAAAGAATGCGTTTAGTTCGTAAACAAATGAGAACAAAAAGGAATGCAAAACAATATAAAAAAAATCCTAACGGACAAATGAACTAAACAACAACAATGATCTTACAATAAGTATCACTAACAATTTGGTAAATAAGACAAAATTAAACAACATTAGGATAGCCCACAAAAAAATATTTAAATTAACAAAAATATTTTAAATTAAATGAAAATAAAAATAATAAATTGATGAGCCATCAGGCGACATTCCCACCACCGTGGATCGGCAACGATTCACCATCCAAATCAAGGACTGCTAGTTTGGAAACCGGGCGTTTAAGTATTCCACTACTTGTTTGGACATCAGCTCTCCGTATTACACCATCACTGCCAGGGAACACATTTATGACAGGGCTGACAGGCAAGTGAGTCAATGGGCGAGAGTTTACGATGTTTTCGGCTTCAATTAAAAAACTTTGCAATGTGTGCTCTTTTGGGGCGACTTCTTTAAGAGTTACTCTTAAAACCTTTTTAACACATTGAACCATTCGCTCCCATACACCACCTTCTGCAGGATTATGTGGACAATTAAACTGCCATTCAATGCCCTTTGTGGACAACTCATCTTCAATTTTAACAAGATCAAAAACTTCATCAAATCGCTGGGCTTCTTGGTTAACTCCAACAAAATTCTTTCCGTTGTCGCTACGAATCTTCAACGGGGTGCCACGACGATTTATGAAATTCCGTATACACAAAATACACGCATCAGTCGAAAGATCATAAGCCACTTCTAAATGTACTGCTCTGATTGTGAGACACGTAAACAGGGCAACCCAACGTTTTTCATGACGTCTACCAACAGTCACGTTTATTGGGCCAAAATAGTCCACACCAGTATAAGTAAATGGACGGACGTATGGAGTTAGTCTATCACTTGGCAATGATCCCATAAAAGGAGCCACTGGAACGGCACGTCGAATCTTACAAATGTTGCAATTTGATGTGGTCTTACTCAACAGCTTTCGTAGTCGTGGAATCCAGAACCTTTTCCTTATTTCGCCTATGGTAGCCTCAAGATTTTGATGTCTCATGTTATTATGCACATGGGCAACAAATAGTTGTGCAAAGCGGTGACAGGGCGACAAAATAATGGGGTGCCTAGCATCTAAAGGCAACCAACTCGCAGCATCAATACGTCCGCTCACTCGAAGTAAATTATTTTCATCAAAATAAGGCGAAAGCGAAAATAACTCGGTTTCCTTTTTTAAAGAACCACCAGATTTTAAAATGTTTATTTCAAGGGCGAAACACTCTTCTTGGGACAGATGACACAGACTAGTTTCAGCAACCCTTAACTCTTCAGCAGATAGGCATCTCGAACCATTATATTTATCATCTTTTCGGCAACGATTAATAAATCTCAGAACCCAAGCCATTGTACGTTTAAGCCTGAGAAATGAAGAAAAACGATTAAAATCAATAACTAAATTTGTACTAACCAGCATGACAAATTTGGGGCGTAGTTCTTCTTCACACAAATCATCAGATTTCTCAGAATTCTTATTCGGCCAATCAGCTTCGTTTTCATACAAAAATTGTGGCCCTTGGAACCAACGTGTTTCAATGGCAAAATCAACTTCATTTTTAGCTCTTGTAATGTCATCGGCAACATTTAGATCCGTAGGCAACCATCTCCAATCAGTTGGGCGTGTCGAATCAAGTATTTCGGCAATTCGATGGGCAACAAATGGTTTATATCTCCTACTTTCAGAACCAATCCAGCTAATGACAGTTGTAGAGTCACTCCAACAGATTCGACGAGAAACATTGAGATCGTGTTCCTTCATTATAGTGTCCATCAATCGGGTCCCCAAAACGGCGGCTTGTAGTTCTAATCTGGGAATGGTCATACATTTCAATGGGGCACATTTCGACTTGGCAGATATAAACGACACTCCTATTTGTCCATCAGATGTTGTATATCTCCAATAGGCCACTGCACCGAAGGCATCTTCACTGGCATCAACAAAAACATGCAGCTCTAACTTCAAGGGCAAACCATTTCCAAAATACCATCGTGGAACCTTTACATGGACAACATTGCTCTTGGCGCCAATTATTCCACATCGCTTGTAATGACACGGGCAACATCTCGTCCCAAAGTACTCTATGTCTCCAGACTTCTCTCATCAAAAGTTTGGCAGTTATCATAAAATGGCACAAAAAACCAATTGGATCAAAAATGGATATTACGACACATAACAACTAACGCTTTGTGGGACAACTTTTACCATTGATCACGTCCGAATTCACACGATGGAATTTCAAAACAAATTTGAACGCGTCATCCTTTGGATCCCAAAGCATGCCAAGAACCTTTTCAGTTGAACCGTCCAACTCCTTTAAGCCACCTAAGAAACTGACCTGATGATTTAAACTGCCTTCGAGACCCACAACCACCTCTGATGAATTCGATGTAAAATTACGCATTTCAAACCCAGCAGCTTTATGTATTTCACGAACTTGTACGGCAATTTCAATGGCTTTTGACGGATTAACAAAACTGTCTACAAAGTCATCTACATAATGATGATCCAGAATTGACTTCACGGCTCTAGGGAAACGATCCCGATACTCCATTGCATTTGCTTCCTTCACATAATGGGCAATACAGGGTGAACAGGCAGCTCCAAACGTCATCACAAGCATCTCATACACTTCCGGTGGACCACTTTCATTATCTCGCCACAAGAACCTCTGCGAACACCTGTCTTCTTCAGCAACAACAACTTGATGAAACATTTCCTTTATGTCCCCGCATACAGCTACGTAACCGACTCTGAAATTAAATAAAACGGATGGCAACGGTTTGTACTGCTGAGGGCCTTTCAATAACTTTGAATTCAATGAGACACCTTCCACCTTTGCTGCCGCATCAAACACCAAACGAATTTTCCCTGGCTTATTAGGGTTAACGACACCAAAGTGGGGCAAGTACCACGTTCTCGGATGAAATGTATCAACTTCACTCAATGATAATTTGCGTACATAATTTTTTTTCAAATATTCACTTATTATTTTCTTATAGGCCACACCAAAATCCGCATTATTTTTCATTTTCCTTTCCAATCCAAAAAATCGATTAAGTGCCATGGAATAGCTATCCGGCAGGACTACGTCATCATTACACCATAGTAGTCTGGATTCAAATCTTCCGGCAACCCTCTTCGTCGAATTTCTCAATATCTCTCGTGCACGCAAATCATCTCTTGACTCAATCACCGGTAGAGCCTTAACACCAAAATTTTCTGTTTCAAAATAACTTGCCACCAAATTATTCAAATTATCCAACTGTGTTGTCAGCAAACAAGTTTGTGTTCCAGGGCGACCTATTTTCACGTTTCCAAAAACAACCCATCCAAGAGGCGTATTGACAGTATATGGACCAGCATCTTCCAAAGGGACTATTTCATCGGGCAATCCTAAATGGCAATGATCTAAACCAATCAGTACCTTTGGAGCCACACATTCATAGGAGCATAAAGGAACACCACAATTCTTTACTAAATCCGCATTAAAGCTCTGACTAGGCAACTTCAAATTCGAGACACCATACACATTTTTCAATGCGTATTTCCTCTTCTTATTAACACCGCTCACATGAAGATCCACCACCATGACAGCTTCTTGTGCTGATTTACCACCATACCAACTCAAATTCAATTGACTTTGTCGACCTTGCAGTCCAAGCTGCCTCACTAAAGAGCTATCCATCATTGTCACCGAAGAACCTTCATCTAGGAGTGCATAAGTTTCAATAGCACTATTTGGTCCATAAAGAACCACTGGGAGCACTCTGAACAACAAATCACTTTTTTCACTAGCACTGGAAACACAACTAAGCACTGGCTCGACTGTTGAAGATCTCTCTGTTGGCTGCACATTTACGGATCGTTCGCTTGGTTCATTAGGTTTAGTTTCATGCAATAATTTATTGTGATTTCTTTGGCACTTTTCCATGGGACACTGCTTGCGCCGACGACAATCTTTACATGAATGGCCACCACTGAGACACGAAAAACACAACTTCAATCTCTTTACTTCACTCCATCTATTAGGCACACTCAATTCTAAAAATTTCTTACAATCAAAAATTTTATGTGGGCCAACACAATAAAAACATTTTAACTGCCGTTCTGGGCCATCAGAAGCATATAAAACCACTTTTCTTTTTGGATCACTGCTAGATCTACCGCCACTTGAACTACTTATTTGCACACTTCTTACCAAATTTGCAACACGCTGGAGCCAGGTACTAAAATCCGAAATAGTCGGCAACTGAGGTAAAGTTGAAGCAAACTGGGCCCAATCCAAACGTTTACTCATTGGAAGCTTCTGGACTAACTCCTCCATCAGAGTTGAATTCGACAAATGTTGATGACCATTGGCAGATTCCAAAAATGCTGCTAAATTTCTGACCTTAATGGAATATGGCACCAATTTATCGATCGCGTTTTCTGCTATGGGCTGAACTTCCTTCATCTGTTGCAACTGGCATCGAATAAGCAACTCTGGGCGACCATATTGTAGCTTTAAATGCTCTATAACTGTTGGCACATTATTTGGGTGGATGAGCAACGACTTCACACACTCTCTGGCTTCACCTTTCAAAGCCTTCTGCAATCTCAAACAATTTTCAAAATTATTGTACGAATATGCGGCTGTCGAATGTTCAAGGGCAGACAAAAACATTGGCCAGTCCTCGGCAGTACCACAAAATTCAGGCAGATCATAAAGTTTGCGTTGTACTGGCATGGACACTGTAGCAGGGGAAACAAAAAGAGGCTGAGATGTCATCAACTGGTCTGACTGACTACCATAGGATTATGGCGTTGGATTCCGACGATCAACCATGTCTTCAGGGCCACTGCTCATACTTTGAATTACTGGCGCATTTTGTCCAATAACACTTGGCATATTTAAATTTTGATTTGCTCTTAAAGCACGTTGAGCGTTTGCCAACTGGGCTTGCAGGATATCAATTTGTCGTTGCAGGTTCTCATTATCAGACGATATAGCTTGTGGTGGCTGGGTTCTCGCATTAGGACCGGGCACTAACGGCGGCAGACTTAAGGGCTCTTCAATTGATGAACTAAAAATGTTATGCGTTGATATGGCAGGTGTCGGTTCTCTAGGGGCACTTATGGAGGCACTAGTTGCTGTTGTTGTTCCGGGGGCGACAGAACTGACATTTTGTACCGACGGCATTTGAGACACATTTGCTAAACTTTCAGTTCCGGCAGGCGTGGAACTTTTCACATTTTGGCTCGTTGCCGTCTGCAAACGAGTGCTTTTCCTAGCTGGCGACCGTTGCATTACGAATCTCAAACGTTTTCAAAGGGCACACAAAATCACAAATATTAAACAGCAACACACTCCAAATATTTCACAAAAAATAAATTTGTTCCGGCAGGCTTAGGGCTACACAAAAATTCACAAATGAATTGTTATTTAATGTAGATCACAAATAAAAAAAACACAATTATAATTTGTTCCAGCAGGACAGCAAATAACTTCACACAAATTCAGCTTAATAAAAGTTTTACTCGTTCCGTCATATAAGGAACCACAAAAATGCACACAATTATTTTAAACACTTTGTTCCAGCAAATATAGAACCACATCACAATTATTTCAATTTGTTCCGGCAGCTTGGAACCACAAATCAAAAATCCAAAATATTTTATTTGTTCCGGCAGCTTAGAACCACAAATCAAAAAAAGGCTTATCTTGTTCAGGCACCTTGGAACACCTTCGCTCAAGATTTCAAATAAATTTCGTTGTTCCGGCAGACAAGGAACACAACCGCACCAAGGAATGCGAAATAAAATTTGTCGCTGGCTGCGACCTGAGCCTTTATGTTGAGGACAGCGAATTTAACAAGTCCCAAATAAATGAACCACAAATGTGAAATTAATGATGCATATATTTGATCAACCGTTTATTTCTATTAAAAAATACAATTATTACAAAAGAAACTTATAAATAATTTAAGCGACTTACCGCAGTCTTTATCCCCAACAATTCTTTTGTCTATGTATTTTTACAACAGTTTATTTCCAAATAAATAAACTGAACGAAACTACTGCAGTAGAATATAGGGACAAAGAATGCGTTTAGTTCGTAAACAAATGAGAACAAAAAGGAATGCAAAACAATATAAAAAAAAATCCTAACGGACAAATGAACTAAACAACAACAATGATCTTACAATAAGTATCACTAACAATTTGGTAAATAAGACAAAATTAAACAACATTAGGATAGCCCACAAAAAAATATTTAAATTAACAAAAATATTTTAAATTAAATGAAAATAAAAATAATAAATTGATGAGCCATCAGGCGACATCGGCTGAGCCGCTACTTAAATATCCTCCACCAGCTTCTTTTATATTAATAACCTTTTAGTTAATCAAATATTTGTGGAAATATTGTTTCTCATCTTTTCTAATACAACAATATTTAAGAAAATTCAGATATGTGTACTGTTGTTCAAGATTTGTTTATACTAAATAATTTTACTAAACAAATTACAAGTAATTGTAAGTATAAAATTTATGCAAACTAAATTAATATTTGTGCCATATTTAGTAAGGATATCATTATTTGGTAATATTTATGTGCGTTTAAGTGATTTTCTGAAGGAGATCTTCTACGGGAGCTATGACCAAATATGGACCGATCGTGAAACAATATTAAAATTACACTTTTGTTTTCAAAAGCAATATTTGTGCCTAAATTTGTAAGGATTCCATTATTTGGTAATGAGTTATGTGCGTTTTAGTAATTTTCGGGAGGGGACCTTGTATGGGAGATATGACCAAATATGGACCGATGGTGAAAAAATTTTACAATATCATTACTGTGTATATAAGCAATATTTGTGCCAAAAATTGTATGGATACCGTTATTTAACAATAAGTTATGTGCGTTTAAGTGACTTTCGGGAGGGGACCTTGTTTGGGAGCTATGACCAAATATGGACCGATCATAAAAAAATTTTAATGTATCATTTCTGTATATAAAGGCAATATTTATGCAAAATTTTGTATGGATATCATTATTTGGTTATGCGTAATGTGCGCTTAACCGACGGACCTTGTATGGGAGCTACGGCCAATTATGGACCGATTCAGAAAAATTGTTCTCTATATGAATTCAATTCACATAAAACTTTTACTTGTAAAAGTTTTTAAAGATATTGTCATTCTACCTGAAGTTATTAACAATTAATACATTTTCCGGGAATATATACATTTGTATGGGAGGTATATGAAACGTGGACCATTTTTAACAGAGATAAAGCTTTCATATGGAAACAATTGTGTGCTGATTTTTATGAAATTATACCGCATAGTTTTTGGGAAAATTGTGTTAGAATATGTTAAAAAAGCTTAATTTTTTCGGAGTTTTTTAAATTTTGATCCATAATCCTTTCCGATGTAAACCGATTTTGCTCATTTTCAACATCAAACTGCCTAGCATAATAGTGAATCTTTTGGCAGAATTTCATTAATTTAATAAGCATTGTTTTTACGTGAGCGTGTTTTACACAGACAGGCGGACGAACGGACAGACGGACATAGCTAAATCGAATCAGAATTTGATAAGGACCCGGAATATATATACTTTGTTGGGTCTCAGATGAATATTTCTTGGTGTTATAAACGGAATGACAAACTTATATGTATATACTCTCTATCACCACTAATGGTGGAGGGTATACTAAAAAAATAATTATTTAAACAAAAAATTGTAAAAATGCATTTAAAATGTGAATATTCAAGTGCTTAAGTTAAAAAGTTATCAATGCAGAGCGGTTCTATTGAAGCACAATGAGACTGTTAAAGTTAGTCGCTCAAATTTATAAGTATTTTGCGAATCTATTTCCCTACAATTCAATTGCGAGGGTTACACAGTTTACGAGGGTTTTGAACATTTAAATGAGAACCCTTATCAATAATAAACAAATCTCTATAATTTTCAATTTTATCGATAATTTAATGAAAATTATTTATAATTTGGTTATTTCCCGATTTTTTAATCGCTATAAACCGTTCCAAAAAATCAAGGTTTTACGTTACATTGACTATACTGAATAGTTACAACAGGACCAAGGCGAATTCATATAAGGTGGTGTTATTCAATCAGCTAATATTTTTTTTCTTAATTCGCCTGGTTTACGTAGCTGTCAAAGTTTGTTATTGTTTACATTTTTATACCCTCCACCACCATCAGTGTTGATAGAGGGTATATATAAGTTTGTCATTCCGTGTGTAACACCAAGAAATATTCATCTGAGACCCAACAAAGAATATATATTCTGGGTCCTTATGAAATTCTGAGTCGATTTAGCTATGTCCGTCCGACTGTCTGTGTAAAACACGCTCACGTTAAAACAAAGTAATGGAAAATAACAAAATTCAGCAAAAATATTCATTATTATCCGGTACAGTTTGGTATTGAAAATGAGCAAAACCGGTTCACATCTGGAAAAGTTATGAAAAAATAAGCATTTTTATACCCTCCACCACCATCAGTGGTGATAGAGGGTATATATAACTTTGTCATTCCGTGTATAACACCAAGAAATATTCATCTGAGACCCAACAAAGTATATATATTCTGGGTCCTTATCAAATTCTGAGTCGATTTAGCTATGTCCGTCTGTCCGTCTGTCTGTGTAAAACACGCTCACGATAAAACGAAGCAATAGAGCTTAACCAAATTCACCCAAAATGTTCTTCATTTTCCTAAGTTGTTTGGTATTGCAAATGGGCAAAATCGGTTCACACCGGGAAAAGTTATGAATCAAAATTTAAAACAACCTCGGAAAAAAATAAGCATTTTTTACACATTCTGATGTAGTTTTCTCGAAAACTATGCAAGATAATTCCATGCAAATCACCATACATTCGTTTCTGCACAAGATCTTGATCCCTGCTGAAAATTGCCAGAATCGGTCCACAATTTCATATACCTCCCATACAAAAGTACATATTCCCGGAAAATGGGTTTTTTGTTAATAACTTCCGCCACAATATCGATATCTTCACAAAATTTTACAAATTAAAATCTTATGTCAATAGAATTCTTTCAGAGGAAAAATTTTATGGATCGGTCCATAATTGGACATAGCTCCCATACAAGGTCCCCTCCCGAAAATCACTTAAACGCGCATAACTCATTACTAAATTAAGGTATTCAAATAAAATTTGGTATAAGTATTGCCCATATGCATAGAAATATTACTGTGAAATTTTTTTCCGATCGGTCCATAATTGGTCATAGGTCCCATACAAGGTCCCCTCCCGAAAATCACTTAAACGCGCTTAACTCATTACTAAATTAAGATATCCAAGTAAAATTTGGTGTAAGTATTGCCCATATGCATAGAAATATTACTGTGAAAGTTTTTTCCGATAGGTCCATAATTGGTCATAGCTCCCATACAAGGTCCCCTCCCGAAAATCACTTAAACGCGCATAACTCATTACTAAATTAAGATATCAAAGTAAGATTTGGTGTAAGTATTGCCCATATACATAGAAATATTACTGTGAAAGTTTTTTCCGATCGGTCCATAATTGGTCATAGCTCCCATACAAGGTCCCCTCCCGAAAATCACTTAAACGCGCATAACTCAGTATTAAATTAAGAAATCCATATAAAATTTGGTACAAATATTACTCATATGCACAGAAATATTGTTGTGAAATTTTTTTCCGATCGGTCCATAATTGATCATAGCTCCCATACAAGGTCCCCTCCCGAAAATCACTTAAACGCGCATAACTCATTAATAAATTAAGATATCCCAGTAAAATTTGGTGTAAGTATTGCTCATATGCATAGAAATATTACTGTGAAAGTTTTTTCCGATCGGTCCATAATTGATCATAGCTCCCATACAAGGTCCCCTCCCGAAAATCACTTAAACGCGCATAACTCATTACTAAATTAAGATATCCAAGTAAAATTTAGTATAAGTATTGCCCATATGCATAGAAATATTACTGTGAAATTTTTTTCCGATCGGTCCATAATTGGTCATAGCTCCCATACAAGGTCTCCTTCCGAAAATCACTTAAAGGCACATTACTCATTACAAAATTAAGATATCCATATAAAATTTGGTACAAATATTACTCATATGCACAGAAATTTTGTTGTGAAATTTTTTTCCGATCGGTCCATAATTGATC